TTTATCATGTAACAACCTCCTTCTCTATTTCACCAAGGAGGCCTGTTCCACGACATCAACACTCTCTCACACTTCAGGTAGACTGCCACCAACCCTTCCCTATAAGGAGTCACACAGACAGGAATGGATTTCAAAAACAAGAGAACTAAAATTTATTGATTGGTACACACTTGGATTGGTAAACAAATAAAACAAGAGACTATTTAAATCAAGGCACTAGCATAAACAGACTCTAAATGTTTGTTCATACAGAACACAGAGCTCACACAGAACTCCACACAACTCGATACAGAACTGCCCCAGCAGAACTTAAAACAGAACCCCCTCATGGCACACTTTCCCCAATATATACCCATCCCAGCTCCACCCACTGATGTCCCGCCTTCCTCCCACTATTGGATGTTAAACTCCCTCCAAAACCTTGAAGGACAGGAGACATCATAGCTGGCTGTAACAGTTTTCAATAACAGCATACCCAAAGCAGCACACCAAAAAAAAAAATTTTTTTTAAAGCTCATCTAAACCGTCAGAAAGGATCAGAGAACATCAGTAAAATTGTGTCTCTTGATGGTAAATAAAGAGTGTTGTATAAATCACAGAAAGTGCAGAAAGAGAGAGAGAGAAATGTTTTTCTTCTTTCGTAAATTAGAGAGGGGCCGCCCTGTGCTATTAAATCATAGAACATTGTTTTTTTTTAAACAAGGCCATCTAGTCTGACTCCCCTCCCAGTGCAGGAAAACTGGGACCATAGAGTTGCACCATGGAAAGGACTCCCAAGTAACAGCTACTACAGGTGGCTGCCATTCAGTCCCCATTTCAAAACCTCAGACCCACGCCCTCAAGCCATGTGCCAAAAGAGTCATGCCTGCTGTTAATCGCCTCAAAGGCTGAGGGGGGGGGGAAGGCTTCCCCCCTTGTATTCTGAATCCCCTGGTCCAGATCCTGCCCCCTTGAGCAGCCAGCTTGCTCCATTTGCCACCCGACAGCCCTCCAGACCGTCCCAAAGAGGGCTCTCGGTTTGTCCCAGGGCCTGAACGTACCCAGCCACCACACCTGGGCCAGGTAGTCCCGTGTCTGAGGGGGCTGGCTGGATTCAGACTGTCTACAGGCATGTGCTGGTGACCATGATGTATAATCTCGTCTCCTTTTCCCCCCTTCCTTTTTTTTTCCAGGAAGGTTGTCTCTTTGCAGGAAGAACTCTGAAAAGCTGGTGAGAGAAGGCGACATGCATGAGGAGGCGTTTCCGCCCACCGATTGTGTTGTGCTACATGTTCTGTGAAAGGTGAACCCGCTTAACCTTTGCGCCTTCATCCGTGGTCTCAGGCTGCATGTGATGGACGGAGGAGGCATCGTCCCATACCGGTGGTTCCCAGCCTTGGGTCCCCAGTTGTTCTCAGACTCGACGCCCAGGAATCCTGGCCAGCCCAGCTAGTGGGCAGAGACTTTGGGGGGTTTCCGTCCCAAGAATATCTGGGGGACATCCCATGGGTGGGAACCACTGGCCTACAGGTCTTTAAAGGTAGACAGGAAGGGCATCATCTCGAAACAGGGAGTTCTTTTCTCTCTTGCTGCCTTCTTAAAACTTACGTAGCATTAGCAGATTAAATCTCAGACCGTTAATAGACTAAGATTCCTTTTGAAATGGGGTTGTGTAATCCTGCTCTAATCTCCCTTTGTCTTTTGGAGGCTGAGATGAGGAGGCCTCAGTTTCTGCGCCCAGTGGAACGGTGGCGGGCACCTTCCCAGGAACGCTTGTCGCCTGTTCCCAAAGTCTAGGAGGCTGGGCTTGTAGGTCAGGGTTGGCCACGTCCATCTCAGTCCTCCCCAAAAGGGGCACATCTAACTGCTGTTATCTGGCCTTTCTTCCTCCTCCTCCTCCTCCTCTTCCTCCTCCCCCTCTCTCCCGCCCTAGGGCGCCTCAGCCATGGAGGACAAGCGCAACATCCCTATCATTGAGTGGGAGGACCTGGACAAGAAGAAGTTCTACGTCTTCGGCCTTTGCATGACCATGGTGATCCGGGTCAGCGTCTACCCCTTCACGCTCATCCGGACACGCCTGCAGGTCCAGAAGGGGAAGAGCCTTTACAACGGGACCTTCGACGCCTTCCTCAAGATCCTGAGGGCCGAAGGGGCGGCCGGGCTCTACCGGGGTTTCCTGGTCAACACCTTCACCCTGATCTCGGGCCAGTGCTACGTCACGACCTACGAGCTGACGCGCAAGTACGTCTCCCAGTACAACAACAGCAACACGGTCAAGTCGGTGGTGGCCGGCGGCTCGGCCTCCCTGGTGGCCCAGAGCATCACGGTGCCCATCGACGTGGTCTCCCAGCACTTGATGATGCAGCGGGTCGGCGGCAGCATGGGCCGCTTCATGGTGCAGGCCTCAGCCGGCCGGCGGTTCTCCATCTTCGGGCAGACCCGGGACATCATCGCCCAGATCTTCAAAGCCGACGGCCTGCGGGGCTTCTACCGGGGCTACGTGGCCTCCTTGCTCACCTACATTCCGAACAGCGCGGCCTGGTGGCCCTTCTACCACTTTTATGCAGGTAAGAGAACCTGAGGAGGGGCTGGGCTTCCCCCAACAGATCTCTATCAGATCGTCTCTTGTGGGCGATCCACCAAGAGGCTGCAGAGCAAGAGTGTCAGCCTTCCTGGACCTACTATTGAACCACAAAGCCCCAACTTTCTTTTACTTCCAGCAGCGACCAGACAGATCCATCTTAAGTCTGGAGGCAAGAGCCCTCCTCACCTCGGCTTTGTCTCCAGTAGCCGTACTGTGGGAAAAGTGTTTTTATAAGGCGTGAGAGGAGAGCACTTTTAAAACGCTTGAAAGCCTGTCCTACAGAGGAGGGGCAGGATCTGTCCTCGATCCTCCCAGAGCGCAGGACACGCCACAACGGGCTCAAGCGACAGGAAGCCAGATTTAGGCTGAAGATCACGAAAAAACTTCCTAACTGTTAGAGCAGTACGAGTACAGACCCCATGACCTCGGGAAGTGGTGAGCGCTCCAAAACTGGAGGCCTTTAATTGAAAACCGGGTAGCCATTTGTCCCGTCTGCTTTGATGGGGATTCCTGCCTTGAGCAGAGGGTTAGGGCCCCTTCCAACGCCATGATTCTACGGTTGCATGTTTTGCCTGTCACCACTGTGCCTCCTATTAAAAATTTAATTTAAGTTAGGGTCTTGTCTGCTCTTTTGTTTAATTGTCATTTATTATTGAATCTTAGTTTATGTTGTGGATGCTCTTATTGCAAGCCACCCAAAAATGGTGGCTTAGCCACTAGATGGCTGGGGTAAACATTGAATTAAACTAACAAAGACATAGCTTGCATCAGAACGTGGCCGGGTGTCCCTAACCTGCCTCTTGCTCCTGCTTCCAGAACAGCTTGCCAACCTGACGCCCCGGGACTGCCCGCACCTCCTCCTCCAAGCCATATCCGGGCCCTTGGCGGCCGCGACCGCTTCCACCCTCACCAACCCCATGGACGTGATTCGGGCCCGCGTGCAGGTAAGAGCCCTAGAGCCGGCCAGGCTTCTGCTTGGAGCCCGAGGCCGCCTGCTGGAAGCTCTGCCTGCAGCGCCTCCAGGCCTTTGGTGTTCACTGGGTGTTCATGGGGCAGGAGAAGCAATGCCGAGAGATGTTCCCGTCCTCACTCTTCGGAACTCCCTCGCTTTTTAGGGCTGAATTTCTCCCTGTCTTTCTGCTCTGCGTGTGCCAGCTGGCATCTGCACCTGCCTTCCTCCCCCCATCGATCATTGGTCTGGGGAGATCATTGGGGGCTAGGTCAGGGGCAGGTGTTGCATGCAGGCCTGCAGGTTGACTCCCTGTGTTCTGAGAGTCATCCAGCACCTCTCTCCCGAACCCTCCTTTCTCAGGGGATCGGAGGTTGGGGAAGAATCTATACGACGGTTGCCTTGCACTCCAAGAAGCTTCTTTGCACCCTACATTTTAAGGCCCCCTCAGGGGCCAACTCTCCTTCGTTTTGGCCCTTTCTCTTCTAGACTGATGGGGGCGCTGTTGGAGGTCCAGAGGGGGGAGGATGAGGATGTAGGGCTCCCCCAGGGTGAATCAGACCCTTCGCTTCATTTGGTTAATTTCAAGAACAACTGAATGGGTTGCCTCCCAGTCGAGGCCAGTAAAAGTTCATTAACCCGTGGGGCTTGCATGACTAGTTAGTTTGGTTCTGGCTTGCCTTTCAGAAGGTGAAAATAAGGTCAGATCTGGAGCATTTCACATCTCCCTTTAGAAAGAGAGCCTGTGTGTTTCTATGTGGGTCTTTGTGTGACTGGGCGCACCCCTTCCCGGAGGCTCGTGCACGACCCTCTGACTCTGTGGTTTTCTCCCCTCCCCTCCCCACAGGTGGAAGGCAAAAGCTCCATCATCCTCACCTTCCGGCAGCTGATGGCAGAGGAGGGGCTGTGGGGGCTCACCAAAGGACTTTCGGCTCGCATCATCTCGTCCACCCCCTCCACCATCGTCATCGTCGTGGGGTACGAGACGCTCAAGAAGCTGAGCCTCCGTCCGGAGCTGGTAGACTCCAGGCATTGGTAGTATCAGAACCGGAGAGGCGAGGAGAGGCCGACCCCTCTCTGGAATTCCTTCGGACCATTCGTGGCCTGGCTGAAGACTCTCCCAAAGGCCGGCTCCCGGGCAGGAGGGGCCTCTCACAAAGCACGGCGAGGGGAGGGTTCAGTCCAAGCCGGCCACCCAGCCTTTCCCCAGTGGCTCCTCTTTGGACCGGTTGGCAGCCTTCTGCAGGTAAAACGCCTGCTGTAAAAAAAAAAAAAAAATCAACAACCGTGAACCCGTTTGTGGGTGAGTGAAACCCCACACACTTCCTTTTCTGTTTTCCTTCCTGTCCACCTTTTTTCTTTTTTTTTTTTTTTAAAGACCTTAACGGTTGAAGCGAACACACCTTTCCACCCCCAAAGAGATTCTGATTCTTTGTTTCCCCACATTCCCCGTGCAGGCGGAATTAACTTTGCAAAAGCCGTGGGCCCCCCCTCCACCCGAGGAGGCTTGGCAGTGGCTGTGGTGGAAAAGACAATTTAGTAAAAAGGCAGGCGCCTCCAGGACGGCTAAAAACTACAGGTTTGAAAGGAGGCAGCAGACCCCACCCAATGCCGAGAGTCATTTGGTGCTGACCTTGTGACCAGATCTGTACGTTTAACTATTGGGGAGGGGGCATTTTTTTTTCCTTTTGTATATTCTTGGGAAACCTCTTGCCAATATCACTTCCGGTTTTGGAAGGGTAGCATTTTTCCCCTTCTTCTTTTGTCATTCTGATGTGTCAACGGTGATTGTAAAGGATGTTCCTTTTAAGTCCGCAGCACTCGCCATGCAGTGCCATCCGTGTGCATTCTTTGGGAGAAGGGAATTAAAATCTGCTGTAGGTAGGATTTTCCCTTTATTCTGTGGCCTTTGCAAATGTGAGCGTGTATTATAATTATTTAAAATACCCAACCAAAACACAGAGTTCTCTCCTAGACTTGTGTTCTTCTCATTTCCCCCTGGAAGTCTGGAGAGATCTCCCTTTGGGCTTAATTTGAAAGGCAGGCCGTACTTTGGCGGTGGCGTCTTGTATAATACTTCCTTTGATCTTTGGTACAAGGATGACTGTCTCGGTGACTGAGTGAATGTTTCGTTAATATGTAGGCCAGGATGCTTTGGAGGGCAGGAGATAAGGAGTGCATACGGCTTCTTTTCTTTGGAGAGAGAGATTTGTAAGTCCAGAGGCAGCTTTGGGGCAGGGCTCTCGGCCCTCGGTAGATAGAATGTCACCTTGGACGAAACTGATTTAGTTTCCTGTTTCTTGCCTACAATCTTCCAGCCAGTGGGGCAAGCAAGAGCGAGGGTGGACAGGATTTGAAGCAGCTTCCATGCACTTTCCAGTAATTGGTGTCTTTTCCCATCATCCTCCTCCCTGGTGATCTCTTCTGTCTAGATGGTGGCGTTGGTTCTGCATTTTTTTAAAAAAACTTCCTGCTCTTTTCTCAGTGCTCCTGTGGCTACACTATTTAAGAAGAGTCAGGAAGAGAAGGAAAGCAGGAGGGTGTATTAACACAGTAAAAGTAATGCCACTAATTCTAGAATGAAATATAGAATTGAAATAAATATTGGGGAGGTGATTTTTCTCTGTACTTTGGTTTTTTTTCTACTGCCAGGGGTGAAACACCTTTCCAGCTGGAGTTTATTCATGCGCTGTAATCAGGAAGTAAGAAAGGGTCTAACTTTGGGCATTTTAACCCTCCGGGTTCTTCTAAACAAGCCCTGTGTAAAAATCTCTCTCTCTCTCTTGAGATAGTTTTGAGAGACTGGATCTGGTTTTGCAAAACCGTCTCATGCTTCTCAAACTGTTTGGGGCCCATCAGAGCAAAAGGCAGGATGAGAAAGGGCTCGTTCTAAGCGCACGGCATTCTCCCCAGTCATTTATGGACAGGGAACTAAGAGAAGGGCCATGTCCTGAATGTTTTGTATGCTGAAAATCGAAATGGCCCCAGGACCTATCGCCACACTTAGCTTTGCATCCTCTCCATTCGTGTGCGATCTCTCGGGGGGCCTAAACATTTAACTCTCAGACAAGCCGCTTGCAAGGTAGGCACTCAGGTGGGGCTTCTTCCATCCAGTTCTACCTCCGCCTGAAATGATTCCTGGAAGGCTGGTTCCGTGGCCGACTCCTCTCCCTGGCGTACTGGTTTTCCTGGGAGAAGGGGTGGTCTGTTTTCAGCGGGGAAGCCTTCCTTCCTTCCCAGGAGGCCCCAGCTGTAGTTTAAAGAGGTCCAGCCCCAATAAGGGTCCCTGTGAAGAGCTCTAGAGCGAAGGAAACCCCAGCCGACTGTTTCCAGGGATGGCCCCCATCATCCCCCTCCTGGATCCATTCATATTCCCCACAATGGGACAACTGATTGGTGCAAATCAGGCCCGTGTTTGGGCTGCTGGAGAGGAACGCCGACCATTCTGGGTGTGCTGGCTTTGATTCTGCATAGCGCATTTTTTTTCTTCTCTTCGGGCGTTTTCTTTTTCCTTTTCTGTTCATTCAGAGAAGCTGTCAAGCGTCTTTATCCCAATGGCACATGTGGGGGGCTTCGTTCCACGCATTTTTCATTCTCTTGTGTTGCGTTCCTCTTAGTGGGCGGGTGGTTTATTAGCGTAGGGGAGAAAGGGTGCTACTCCCTAGATGGTGACAGGCAAAGCACATGCAACGAAGGCTCAGGAAACTCTCTCTCCCTCTCATATGTAGAAGGGCAAAACATGCTTGTCCTAATAATCCCTTTTAGGGTTTGGAGAGCTGCTTCTCCAGCTCCCCTTCAAAAAAAAGCTGCTGTGACGGTTTTCCTCCTGTGTCTTCTTGATGTCGGTTCATCAGTTGGGCCACCAACCCTTAACCAGAATATGTGTAACTTTATCAATGAAGTGTATATAGAGAATGACCGGCTTCCTCAGAGGGGTTAAATTACAAGCTACGAATCCCCCCTGTTGTCTGTGTTTCCCAGTGAGGTCGGCGCCCGTCTCGTGCGGCCCCGAATCACGGAGCCGCTTTGGATCCTTTCAGCGACCGGGCTGAGATCTCGCTCCATCCTTTACCCAGCAATACTTGGCTTCTTTGGTGCAATCATAACCTGAATGATTTGGTTTCTCCAGTACAGTATTTCGTCTGCCGAGTGTGTGTGGTGAATTTCCATCGCACTCGTCTCAGGAAGCTTGTAGTGAGCGATGGGTCTTCTGAGAAACACACACTTCCCCCCCTTCAGTTTGAGGACGGGGGGCACAGAGTGAGTTGGGCGAACCGGAAACCTTCCCGCAGCCACATGGAATGGAAGGCCTTGCCTCCCCATACCTTATTTACACGGGAGTAAATTCCAAATTATCTCAGATATCGGTGCCTGCTGTCTCAAGGTGGAGTTTTGAATGTATTTGTGTACCTGAAAACCGGTTTCGATTTTGCACTGTAAGAAGTCTTTGAAGTGTAATTAAAGTTTTTATTATTTATGTCCTCTTTCTCCTGGTGGATCTTGCTTTGCCAGTGAGTGAGAAATACGAGACCTTTCGTGCTGTGCCCTGCAAGCGCTGACATGCCTGCAAACCAGGCGCCGGCCACATTCAGCCTTCCGAGTGTTGTTGTTCGATAAGAAACCTTGCGAGCTTTTTATGGGAAGAAAGTGGGCGATGATGCCTGAAACCTTGCACTGCTGGACGGTTGAGGCAGGGCAGGTCAGGCCTGCCCACTTTTTTGCTCAGCTCTCTGTGCTGTTGTGGATTTTAGACTGCAGCTCCCAGAATTCCCTGGGCAGCTGCTACCTGGGGGATTCTGGGAGGTGTAGTCCAAAAGACACCCAGTCTGCACCTCTCCAGACATAAATGAAGAACAAGAAAGAGAAGATACCTTTATGGGCTACACATCGTTTTGTTTGGATCAGCACTGCCAGAATTCAACACAGGGCGCGTGGAGGGGGGTGGGGGTCCTGCATGGAGTGGGGAATTCTGGGAGATGTAGTCCAGGCGCACGGAGCCCTCTCCTCCCACCAGAGCTGCTAGGCACGACATGGCCCGCTAGGGGCCGCCAGTGACCAAGCCGGCTCCCTTCTCTCCCCCGCCCTGCACGAGGCGCCTCTCATTGGACGCCGAAAGGAGAGCCGCGCCCAATGAAAGGAAGCCTGGGGTCAGACGTCACGCCCCACCCCGCCGCCGGCCTCCCGAATCGCCTGGTTGGCTGCCCTCCCCACTTGTCTTTCTCCGTGTGGGCGTGGCCAAGCCGAGGAAGCGCTCTGGGCCTGCGCAGCGGGGAATGCCCGCCAATCAGAAGCGGCGGTGGGCGGAGCCACAGAGCCGTTCGGATTCGCGCGGGCTCGGCGGATCCAAGATGGCGGCGCTGGCGAAAGAAGGAGGAGGAAGAGAAGAGGCATCAGGGAGGGAGCCCGGCCCGGCCTCCTCCTTCTTCCCGGCCTCTCAGGGGAACCTCGGGCGGGAGCAGATCTTGGACTTCATCGTGGACTCCTTTTTGCGGACGCTGGAAACCGGCGGGTGAGATCTCGCGAGATTTGGCAGACAGTGGGGGGGCGGGAGTTCTGCGAGAGTTGGGGCCGGGAATTCTCGCGAGACTTCGAGAAACGTTACTTTCCCTAACTCCCAGAATGCCCCCGACCCTCCCCCCCGATTGGGACTCCCAGAATCCCCTTGTCCTTGAGGGCACTACGAGCTCCCAGAATCCTCTCTGTTCACAAGCCCACTTTCCTAACACTACAAGTCCCATCATTGCCCAGCACCCATAAATAGATTTTTTGAGACTACAACTCCCAGAATCCCCCCTCTCTTTCTCTCGGGTGAATTCCTAGGAAGGCGATTCCTAGGAGGTTCCCCCGCATCTGCGGTTTTCGGTATCCGCGGTGAGGGGGGGGGTGGAACCAATCCCCAGCGGATATTGGGGTGTGTGTGGTTTCGAAATATTGTGTCTTTAATGACATAAGTGGGCGTGGAAGAAGAAAAGTGGGCTAAAAGATAAAAATTTTTAAGGCCTAGGAGGCACCTGCCCAGCCTGGGAATTTGGGGACTTGTTCCAGAACCAGATTTGCAACGTGCGCAGGACCCAAAACTCCGCTCTGACTTCATTTATTTATTTCTTAGGCGTTGGGGGGCTTCCAAAGAGTCCTCAGAGGTTTTTCCCTTTCCTCCAATAGGTACCACACGTTTGCGAAGTGCTACAAGCGCCTTTACAAAGCCCAGCCTAGACTCACCAAGTGCGTCTACAACCAGTTTATCTCCCATTTGCAAAGCTCCGTCCGGGTAAGAGCCGAGGAACGCACCGAATTTTCTCTCATATCAGCCTTTGCACTGAAGAGGAGGAACAAGAAAAGGGTCTTACTTGGCAAAAAGCAGTGAACAAAAAAGGACTTGTTTAATCTTGATGGTTAGATGACATGTTTCTTGTATAACCAGTCTTTGCATGCAAGCATCCGTGCGGCGTTCCAGTTTTTAGCAGCGATCAGCTCTCCCGCTGTTAATAAATCAGGATGATGTAGCTTCTTAATACTTTAAAGCAAGGTAGGGGAAGCAGGGAGTAAATGGGCAAAACAAAGTTGGCTGCAGGCAGGGTGAAATCCAACACCGAAATGCTAAAGCAGTTTATGGGGGCCTGGATGGGGTTGCCCCAGCTTTCCTTTCTGCATGCAGCTCGAGCATCTTGTGTTTCCTCTGTGGACAGGAGGAGATCCAGGAGTTAAAGCAGGAAGGAAACCTCGAGGCGCTGTTTGAATCCCTGGATAAGCTTGTAGAGGAAGCGAAGGAAAGAGACACCCTTGCCTGGTAAGGAGCGGGTTATTGTGACACACGCCTCTGTGGGAAGAGGTGCCTGCCTCTCAAAACGTTGCAGTCGGGCTGTGTCTGTCGCCGTGGTGTGTGGAGGCTGCACACAGGCGTAGCCAAACATGAGAATGCTGTTGATCTTAACACTGTGCTGGTTTATGTATTTCAAACATTTAGGTCCCTCTCCGCCCCCAGCTAAGCAAAGCCCTGAGAGTGCAAATTTAAAAAAGAACAGTATTTAAACTCCCAAAGATCCCAATGGAAACAAATGAAACAGCCAAAATGGAATTGAGATGTGGGAATAAAGCAATTGCATGGTGCAGAACGTCTGCAATTCCCGTCGCGTGGTGGATCTCGCCCGGGAGGCCATCGGAGTAGGGCTTTATACCGGGAGGGTCCTTTTCCCTTTCCTGCCTCCAAGGCTGTTCCCTGTTTCTCCCACAGGCGTCCCAGTGGAATCCCCGAGGCGGACGTCCGTAACGTTGTGGTCCCCTATCTCCTGAAGCACCGCGAATTCCTCCAGAGGGCCTTAAAAAAGAAGGAAGAGAGCAACGCCAGGCTGGCCGAAGCAGTGCTCGCTGGCCGAAAGAAAATTGCGGACCTGCAGGAGGAGATCCAGAAACGCAAGGAAGCGTGGCAGGTGAGTCCTGCGGATCATACTCAAGGGTGACAGCCCGTTAACCACGTATTTAGAAAAGGTGCTCTCCCAGGGGCTAAAAGGCATCTGCTAGTCATAGCCTATCTACATCTTTCATTTATTGTCATGGAGGTCAACAGTGGGGGAGATAACATCTGTCTTCTCTGTGCTTGTCTTTTGTTGTATGCACATAATATTTCATATTTGAACTCTCCCCCCCGTGAGGGCAAGACACTCTGAAGGATTAAAATGTTAACCTTGTGAAATTGAACAGAAGGGCTCCAGCCGGCGCGTAATTATTTTTCCTCGCTTCCAGGCAGTGGCTGCAGACGGGCGGAAGACCGTGAGCACGCTTGATGAACTTTGTTGAGACCAAGATGATGCTTCCTGGCCTTCCACACAGGGAGCTCCTCCCGTGTCAGGAAAAAAAACTGTCCATGCTTTGGAGAGCCCAGGGGTCTGATCCGGGGCTTGCGGGCTCCGCCGGGGCATTCTCCAGAGCCCGCCGTGTGACGGCAGCAACAGTTAAACACCCGATGGCCTTTCCTGTGGGACGTCTTCAGAAACCTTCTTTTCTGTGTGTCCGGCGCCTGAGCCGTGTGCCAGATGGATCGCTCTGCAAGGCAGTGTTGCTTCTACCCAGAAGGGCAAGGGCCCAGGTTTCATATTTGTCCACAGTGTCCTGAAACTGTGGACAAGACTGGGTGATTTACTCTCCTTTTCCTCATTTTCTCCAGGTTTTAGTTGGTCCTAAGCCCCTATCTGCATTTTGTAAACAGGTTTCTTGGCTGTATATGTATTTATATATAATCTTCACATTATCCAAGTAAGTTTTTGTCTAGTTGTGACTTGGTGGATGTTCTTACACACTTCCCAAGCTCTGGGAGAGCAGAAGCAACGTTAAGGCAGCCTCTGTTTTTCAGGAAGGAATGCGAAAAGGAAGTGAGCAGGCCATCCAGGACATCACGTGAATCTCTGGGGGGGTGGGTACCTGGAGGAACAGCTTCGCTTAGGCTCCGTTGTCTTCAGTTGCAAGGGAATTCTTGGCAGGAGTCAGGACTTTGGAAAGGGCCCTCCTCCACCCTTCGAAACCCCAAGCAAGAGGGTCCTTAGCCGAGGGAATTCTGGGGAAAGTCACTTTTCCCAACGCCCTCATGGCATTCCTGTTGCACAGGCTCTGCAAAGATAGGGTCGGGAAGTCTTTCTGCTGAGGCAGCACCATGAAGAGGCTGCTTCTGGACCTAGTTTTCTGCATCTGCTCCTAATTAGCGGTCTTGTTGTGTTTGGATGTAAAGGTTGACCCCGTCCACCCCATTTTGTAAACACGGGTTTCCTTGATGACACTGCAAATATAGAGCTGGGTGCCAGCTGGCCCTGCCCGTCGTTCCCCGTGGCCAGCGTGGGCTGTTTGGGCCAAGGCTTGGACCACTTCCAGCCAGCCTTGCCCTTTTTTCTCGAAGCCCTGGGACGTGGGCTTCCGTTTAGGGCTCAGCGATGCACGTCAGAGGTGGACGGCCCCAGAAACTAAACCACTCTCCCTCCCTCCCTTTTTTCCTTAAATTTGGGCACAAACGTTGTGTTGTCTTCCGCACACAGACCAGCACGCCTGGGGCGTGTGAGAGATGAGTTTCAAACCAGGCCAGCTGGGGTCCAGCGCAGGCTTTGTCTATAACCCAGCTTCTGTTCTCCTTGCAGCTGATGAAATGCTTCACCCAGCCTGAGCTAACGGGACGAGGTAGCTGAACTTTTAACTAGGCTTCCCTGTTGTGGGTGCTCCCCCTCCCCTTATCTTGCTTGAGTTGCGTTTGAGGATCAAGGGGGAGAGAAGGAGGGGAGCGGACACCCACCCCACCACCACCCTCCCACACGGGGGGGGGCAAGCCCTCCATCTCTGCCGTCCTGTCTCTCTCACCCTTCTGAGTTTTCAGCAAATGCTACCTGTATTTTTTAAAGTTCTCCTTCGCTAAGGGTGCGTGTACTCTTCAGGAATTTTGGACCTCAACTCCCAGAATCATAGTCATCATCATGTTTGAACTGCAGAGCGGGAAGGGACCCTATCAATCATTGAGTCCGGTCTCTTATCAACCAGGCCCAGTGAGGATTCGAATTCCATGCCTCGGGCTCTGCCGCCAGATAACTAAGCCACTGAGCACTCCAGAATTCCCCAGCTCTTCCTGGAAGTCATGGCCTTGTTGTGTGCTAGACTGTAGAGAGCACCTCCCAAACATCTACAGCTCCCAGGGAGCACCAGGGTGGCTTCCTTGCTTTGGGGAACAGGCTCCCACATTTCTGGGGAATTCTGGGATTTGTAGTCCAGAAACACTTAAGAGCAAACGCCTTCCGTTCACCCTTGTGAGGTGTGGGTTTTGCCCGCAAAATCCTGAGACGAAATAATGTGGCTGTTGCTCCCTTCCACTCTTCGGCATCCCATGTAGCCGGTCCTCATGGAGGATCGGTTTCACAAAAAAAGTCACAAGTAACGTTTAGAAGTAAATGACTCTGTAAAGCTGAGGAGCAGCAGCACTGGTGGCACGTTTGGGCATCCTGGGTTTGCATCTCCTGTTGGTCCTTAGGAACACGCTCGGTGACCTTTGGCAGCTCCAGAGGTCTTGCAAAGCTTGTACAGTACCGTCCACCGGCTGGGTCTCCCCTTTCATCCGTCCAACTGCATAGCTCCTCGCCCTGAAGAGCTGCTTCTCTCTTGTTATTTCCAAGTGGGTCTCCTTTCGATTCTTGCATCGTCAGAGGCCAGGTTGGGCACAGGTTAAAGTAATGTTTCGGAGTGTCCTGGCGGAAGGTGCCCAGCTTTGGAACAGCCGGCTTGCGACCCGGCAGACGTGGCAACCTCGCCTCCTTCTGGCACGGCTCTCTCCGGCATCTGCAAGCCATTGGGATCAGGAGGCGGCTCTTTCCGCTCCCCGGATTCTGGAGGCTTTGGAAAGCGCCCCGTGGCCTGCTCTGAACCCCCGACAACCCAGCAGGGAGGTGGGCCAAGAGAGGGAAGGCCGCCAGCGTCCAGAAGATGGCTGTGTCGGCTCGTAGCTGGTAATTACGGGCTCAGCTTCTCTGGCCTCGGCTGCCAGTGGCTCTTGGCCCTGATCCAGCTCCCCTTTCCTTCCAGGCAGCTTCCGGCACGTGACAGCTAGCCTTGAGACCGTCCAAAGCTCGGGACTCTTTGGAGTTAGAGGGACAGATCCTGCTCTCCCAACTCAAAGGAGGCAGCCCAGGATCCCATCTTGGAAGGGAGTGAGCAGGGAGGCCCTGTTTCTCTCTCACCTCTTCTTTCTTATTCTCGCTCCTACCTGGGAGAAACATCAGAGTTTAAGACAAGTTCCCTCGTTTGGATTTTTTAGACTACAAATCCCAGAATCCCCCAGGCAGCCTAGCTAAGCGTTGTCAGCACGTTTCCAAGCTCTGCTTGAGATGCCCCACTTTGGGGTTTGGAGGGTGGCGTGTTTTTTGCCCCTATCAGCCTGGTGAGCTTCACAGGGCTCCCCTGAACCTCTCCAGAAACCAGCAAGAAAAGATCTGAGACGACGCGGCCGGATTTGTGCCGTCCATGATTTGAATGGGACGTTCATTGGGCCGCCGTCCTGTGACTTCCAACTTAAGAGGGTTTTTGAGATGCAGACAAGATACAAAGTCAAGGAGAGGTTCCCCCAGAGAGTTCCCATGACTGTGCGGTGATTCGAACCCAGGACGTCTTGCTTCCTAGCCTGGCCAGCAACGCCCTGCTCCGCTCTTGACAGTTGTGAGATTCAAAGCAGGGACTTCCGAAGTCACGACTTGCTTTTGAAAAAGGCCCTACTGGGCATCCCGGAGTCTCCTAGAAATCTCCGCCCGGGCAGTGCTGGAGAAGAAGCGGGTAACTTTGCTATAGTTTTTTTGCTCCCCCCCCGGGGGGGGTGCTGAACCTTTGGATGCCGACTCCCACTATCCTGGATCACGGGCAGCGCAGGCTGGGGATGCTGGGTGTTGTAGTCTCAAAAGTCCAGGGGGGGGTGTGCCCAAAGTTTTCCACATCTGGAACTTAGCCACCCTCTCCAACTTACAGTCTGGGTTGCTTCAAATCTGCATCTACCAGAACCCCTTGCATCTAAACATACTCTCTTCCTCCACCCCGTAAGACTTGAACCCAGATGCCAGCCGCCTCCTGGCTCCCCCCAATGCCATGCAGCTGTTCTTGGGGACCCCCTAAAAGGTCCCCGTTTCCCTGCCCCAGGCCTTCTCTCCCTCCCTCCCTGGCCGGCCGGCCGGCGGCTCTGGGCTCCCGTCCAGCCCCTGCTTCCGAACCACAATTGCTGCTGGCGCTGAGGAGCGCCTTTCCTCCCCGTCCCGGGGGCTCCAAAATAGAGCTGGCAGTGGGGGGAGCCTGGGACCTGCCCCTCTGGAGAATGTGGGGGGAGCGCCGCGTCCCCGGCCAGGCGCTTTCCAGAAAAGTATAAAGGAGGAGCCGAAACCCAGGAAGAGAGGAATCGGCACCAAGGAAGGAGCAGAGAAGATCGACACCGGAGCATCCCTACCAGCCAACATGAAGACGCTAATGCTGGTGAGCTTCCTGGCCGTGGCCACGCTCCTCTGCCTCGGCGGCGCAGGTGAGTAGACGGGCAAACTGACCCCTCTTGGACGACTGTGATGCTTTACAAAGTGGGCTCCAAGCCAGAGGGTCCCTGTCCAGCTCTGTCGCTCTCAGGTTATTGTGATTAAGGGCCACACCGAGGGTCATCTAGTCCAGCCCAAATCCAGAACTAATGCACCCATGTGGTGTGGCTGATGGAAGAGGACTCCGGGACCCTTTTGCTTATTTTCTCTTTGTCCTCCTTGTCTCCAGATGACTCGGCTCGCTCCGACGACGCCCGAAGCTCTGAAGGTCAGTGCTTCCCCCCCCCACCCCCATTTTAAATTAATTTTTAAAATCCCCCGACAGTCAGAGAGATGCTTTGCAGATGGGTTTAAAGCAGGGCGGCATGCAAAAAAAGGATTGACGGAGTCGATGGATGGGGCAAAGTTCCGTTCTCTTTCCTATTAAACAATGAGGACTAGCGCCACGCTTTCTCATATTTAAAACAAAAGCGGAGATTCTCTGAGCCCCCGTCCTCATTGTGTATAGGAAAACTCAAGACGCTGTGTTGCTGGTTGGGAATAAGTAACTTGACCAGGGAAAGATCTCCATAGAAGTGGAGAAAGTTTTGTTAAGAGTCCTTTTCAGTGTGGGAGGGTTTGGAGAGGACGTGGGGATGATGGGAGTTGTGTGTCGCTCAGATTGACCACCTGTTTTATTAAAGAAGCTCTGGTTTCTTCCTTCCTCCCCCTCCAGCTTTCCTCTCTCGGCGCGAGAGTGCGGCATTGGTGAAGCGAGATAAGAAAGACTACGGCAGGTAAAAACAAAACTTAAAACTAGTTACAAGGGCTGAGTTTTGAGCTCCCCATTCCCCCCTAAGACTGAACCCTGCCTCTGGAAATCTAGCTCTGCCAGAAACAGGGGCTCGTGGGGGTTGAAAGCCTTGGAGCGATCAGGATGATTGAGCTAATCTTGCTGTTCAAGTCTGTGCCCCTTAAAAATGCTCCCTGGGCGAAAATGGGGGACTCGGCCAGCACATCATTCGAAGCGGTGCTCCCTGAAGGAAAAAAAAGATCTGATTGCTCAAGGACAAGCTTATCTCGGTCCTCATTTGCACAGATTAATGTTGTTTTTTGTTTTCCGATGGGTCCTTGGGAGGTAAACGCAGGCATCGTTCACGGGTCCGATTGGGCTCTGAAGGATGCTGTAGTGGCAGGAAGTTTGTGCTTCCTTTAACCAGCCATTTTCGGGGTGACGTATAAACAGCCACCCTTGCCTTCCACTGATCCAAACCCCCCGCTTCTCATCAGCAGGCTCTACAACATCGTGGCCGCCCCGGTCGCGACCCCCGACCCCCTTGAACCCTATCGAGAGATTTGTGAACTCAGTCCTGGCTGTGACGAACTGGCGGACCAGATTGGCTTCAAAGAAGCTTATAGAAGATACTACGGGCCCATCTAGGCTTCCGAGTGCGAAAGCCGCCCTGAGACAGCCAAGCCCAAATGCACGGACCAGAATGAACGTTTAGATTTTCATTGTACTGTACAGCAGGACCTCCTATCCGCAGGATCAGCATCCACGGATTCCCAGTATCCACGGATTTACTTATCCGCTGGTTGAAAATACTACCCCCTCCCCTGATACACCTATTTATATGCATTTCCAAGATGTATTTAGCAGAACTAGAGGGAGGCAGAAATCATGTATAGCATTCACCATTCCCACATTTTTCAGCACCTGCGGGGCGGGGGGGCTTGGAACCGATCCCCCTCCGGATACCAGGGTCACTACGGTACCATATTTTTCCTTTCCTCCTCCCGGTTAAGCTCCAAAGCGACCCAGTTTCTTAGTACAACCTCTGCTTAGCTTCTGTTTGGCTTCTCCCTGCCTCTGTAAAATGCTTGCTCAATGTTGGTGTTTATATATATATAATAAAACCTGTTTTCTAAATGAATAAACTGTGGGGTTCTTTTCCCCCTTTACTAATTCATTCTGTAGATTGTGTGTTTCTCAATACGGAAGAGAATTCTGTGCTGCCGAATTGGGCATGGATGACTTTGATGTATCTGGGAGGGGGGGAGGAACTCAATTTTGCAACCACTGAAATTTTATTTATTGGGGGGAAGACACCCCTTCTGATTTGAGGAATTCTACTTTGTTTTAGGGTTTGAAAAATAAAAACAGGGGCCTCGGACACTTTGGGGGACTCAAAGAGTGGTTTTGAGGATTCAGCCCGCCCACCTTGCCTGGGCCCTTCTCCCCCCAGAGAGGGTCCGGCTGGCCCGAGGGAGGTTGCTGGCATACCGGGTGCTAAATGATGCTGGGGGGGGCAGAAAGGACCGATCCTTCACCTCAATCCACGGCAATGAAAAACAGAGCCGTGCCCAGAAAAGTGCCCCCCCCTTAGTCCGTTTCAGCAAAATGCAAGTGTTTTGTAACGGATTTCGCCTTTTAGCTTTTATGGGCCACAACCTGCTTCTCCTGAGGAATCAGATGCAAGCTATGTTACTGATGGCAGAGGAAACCATTAGCTACCGTGGAGGCAATGAGGACTAGCAGCTTTACCTCTCCCCACCCTGAAAATAGTCTTGAGTTTTGCATGTTGAAGCTGGCCCTCCTCTGTCTTGAATCATTCCCTGGCCCCAGCTAGACTCTGAACGGGGAACTCTCCATGGTGCTGAAGGTGGTTTGAGCCTCCAGCTCCACCGGTGGGATTATGCCTGTCAAGTTCAGGCTGAAACCTGGAGGCCACGGAAATAGCTACCACCACCCAACCCATAAAACTGACAGCCACTGGGAGGAAGACGAAGAGGGACAGTGGAGCCCTGTTGCCGAAAAAGGTGGCAACCTCAGCAAAAACTTTAAAAAAGGAAAGAGAAACTACACCAGCACAGTGAAAACGAGAGTGAAACAATAAGGGATATTCATTAATGCAAGAATAATGTGTATTTTATATCCTTCCCTACCTGGTAATCCTTCTCGGAGTGGTTTACAATTTAAGAGGTCAAGTGGAAGACATGGGAGGAATCGCACTGAGGTCCCGCTTGGAATCAGAGGGAAAATACGGTAATTCAATTTGTCAGCCCTTCCTCTGGATCCAACCTGATGTTTTAAAAAAATGCAGAAAGTTAAAATGGTTTCGAGCATCCTTTGGGTGATGATGGAAAAAAAATGATTTATCCTGGTTTTGTGTTTTTTAAGGCTTCTGACCGTTTCCAAAATGCTGCAAATATTTTCAACTCAGCCCCACTGAAGCAAAAAATGCCCCCTTGAGCCTGCCAGCTACAGTCTCTTAAGCCTTGCGCAGAGAAGTCCGTGTCTGGAAAGGGGGTGGCCCAAGGAGGCCCTCGGGGCTGAAATGTCTCCCTTAGCAGAGGCTCAGGGGCTAAAACCACAGGAAAGTCACTTTTCTGCTGCTGGGGGAGGACCGGCTCGGGAGGAGACAGAGGCTAAGGTGGGGACGGGCTGGGCTCTCCGGCAGCCACTCTCTTCCTGAGCCGAATATGCACTGGCGGTTCTCTCTTCCTCCCTGGGCAGCGCGACAGCCACTTGGCAAAGACGCAGGCGCTGACCACCATTTTGATGGCGATCAGCACGGCCGCGGTCACTCCAAGGAGCGGACTGGACACCTGGACTCCGTTAAGGCCTGCAAAAGGGAAAGCGGGCATTGAAACCGTTCCAACGACACTCCGTTTGCAAAGCAGATTCCTGGAGCCGGTGGGCCAAGGAGGGTTTCCTCGTGACCTCTGAGGCCCTTCGCCTCGGAAGTGGCTGCTAGACGTGGAGAACCACCACGTGGCAAGGCTTTGCCCAAAAGAATTACATGTCTGGCAAATGGGCAGTCATCATGCAGCCCGGTTGTTTGGGTATCAATAATGTTTCCCCCTTTATTTTTTTTAAAAATCTCTTCTGCCTCCCTCCCGACAATCCAGATCTTCTCCACTGTTCACTTCCTTGACCCACCAATTGCCTTGCTCCGTCCGTCTCCCTCACAAAGAGTATACGAGAATAGCAAGCAGCCAAAGGAACCCTACAATCTGACTTTGTCAGGTTCCGCACCCGCTCCCTGGCCTTCAGTAAAGGCAAGGGATTTTTTTTTAATGTCATTACCTATCCACTAGCTGATTCCTGCTGATGATGGCTTTGAGCTACTCCTCTACAGTGTATAGGGTGACAATATTTCCAACTGGCTTATAGCAAGGATGATTTTTTCTCAGAAAGAGCAGTCTTGGACCTTGCTTTGAAGAGAGGAAAACTTACCAGCGCAGATTTCCTGCACGGACACCGTCCGGGACGCCTCGCCGATGGGGTTCCTGGCTCTGCAGGTGACGTTCAGGTTATTTCCGCTGAGCTCCATGATGGCAGATTTTCCCCAAAGCTCAGCCTTGCTGGCATCCTCCCAGCTGACCATCACATCATCCTCCCAGGGCCCTGCAGAGCAGTTCAGCTGCCTGGTTCCGTTCCCGGTTGTGTGACACCGGACGGTCAGGTCAGCCTCCGACAGACACTCTGCACAGAAAGGGGCAGAAATAGGATGATGAGCACAAGAGAGCCCCACCGCCTCTTTCGTTATTCATTTATCGGATTTATTGCAGCATATTCACAAACTGAGACACAGCATTGAAGGAAAGACGGATGTGGAGGGCAGAGGGGGCCAAATCCATCCAGCCCTTAGCCTTTGCTGGCGGGGAGGGGGTTTGAAAAAGGCAGAAGTGCTCCCAGTTGCTCCTTTTCTGCTCCCTTTGCAGAGACCCTCTTCAGGACCTCTTGCAAGATTTCTTCTGTCTATGACCTCCCCACCCACCCCAGGGTGAAACGTCCATGAGGTTACTTGGCTTGGAAGGGAACGGAGGAGTGGGGGCTGGTCTCCCTGAAATGCCCAGACATCATGAACCTGCCTAGCCCTCGGGGAAGGAGACACCCATCCCGTTCAAACACCTGGAAATGGTCAAGATACTTACTGTACATCCGCAGGTCAAAGGTTTCCCGCAAGGGATTGCCTGCAACTTCTTGCTGTATAAATGCTGTGTACCTTCCAGAGTCGCCTAGTCTTAAATCTCTGACTTGCAGCCTCCTGCAGTCTTCAGAGGCATTAAGTCGCCCTTGAAAGCCAGGGATCAATACGTCGGGTGTACATCGCTCTTTGGGCTTTAAAAGGGCAATATTGGAAGGGTCTTTGCTTCCCTCACTTTTAAGCCAGAAAATTATTTTAAACGGTGGAGACGTCTTCAGCTGGAAAGTGACCGATTCCCCCAGGGCTCCGGTTACCTCAGTGGCATCTCCTGCTCCATAGGATGCTGTGCCTTCGGGAAGAAGACAGGAGTGTCAGGAAGAGGAGTCTTCAATGTGGACCATGAAGGGGAGGGTCAGCAGAAGCCCTCAGAAACACCCCCCCCAGCAATGTGAAGAAGGAAGCACCATTAAAAAGTTATTCTTATGCCTTTTAGAGAGTTGGGGGTTCTGTTTCTCCATCTCTGGGGTGGCCTCAGTACTCTTGGCACTCAACCTTTCTTAACGCTTTCTTACCACCAGACGGTGCAAGGGGAGGATTAAGGAAAAATATTGGGCAGGGGGTCAAGGATCAGCCATGGCAAGATGCAGGAGAGGTTGAAGTGGTAGGTGGCAGGATTCACCCTCTCTCTCTTGAAGAAGAAGTGGAATCCGGGACCTCCCTCCAGGGCTGGCTCAAGGGAAAGGCTTGGGTTTCATGGCTCCTGTCGTGAGGAGGCAGAAGAAGCCAGGCTCAGATGAAATGCCTCTCAGTTCTCGCCCAGGTCTTTCCCGTTTCCCTTTTGGATGCCACGCTCTGCCTCACAGCAGGGCTGGCCCTCTTGCTTGCTCACCTGCTCCCGTTTCACAACCAACATCTCCCAAGTCACACAACTCACCTGGCACCGGATCCTGTAGCAGCAACAGCAGCCACAGCCACCCCATCGTGGCTCGCCTTCTCCTCTGCAGGCTTAGAGCAAAATGAACCTTTTCAACTCACTTCCTGTCGCCGATTCCTCTTTCTAAGACCCACCCGAAGGTCAGCACAAACTGAGGGGGAAGTTGTGGCAACGATCTCTCTTGCACCTGCAAGAAGCAGTGCAGGGCCCGAGGGTGTCCGGAGGAGACCCACAAAGAGGAATCACGGGCCCCCACAAACATTTCACGAGTCGTGGAAAAAGATGCTCCTGCCATTGGGAAGCAACGTATTTTCACCCAAACGCCCTTCTCTCGTGGACCCCAGGAAGGCGGTCTGGTCACCTCCTGCATTAATGGCTGGGTTTTGAGCAGCCAAACCTCCCACGAGGTTCCATTCTTTAGGGTCTTCGGGAAGACGGAAAGCCTCTGATGCCTTACTGATGTTAATATTAAAAAAACAATAATTTCATGGGGTGCAGAGGGGTTCCTGTAAAAGTGAAAACTGCCTTTTAAAAGACGCATCCGAGATGCAATAAAAGTGAAAGCAAGATTGGAGCAAACACAGCCGGGAAAAGAGTTTCTATCTCAGTCCTTTGTTTTGAAACAGAGTTCCTGGTCGGCTAACCAGGCAGAGGGAACTCATTCCGTTTTGGGCCTGTTTTTCGCAGAAATGAATAAATTATAGAGCGCTGACATAGAGTGAAAGGGAAACAGGGAAGTGCCTTTTTAACACGCCTCTTCTGCTGTGTTTTAATTAGAGGCCCTGAAATCTCTGGTGCTACAGAAACCCACGACTCTTGAAGATGCCCCAAGATCCAGCAGCAGGGGGTGCCAATGGACTACCAACGTTGGGCGACGCAGGCCGGGAAGGAAGGGGTAAAGCGGAGTTGGTTCCCGTTTGAGGCTGGCCAGCATTGACCAAAGTTGGTAAACATCTGGGGAGGGGAGAGTAGCTTGTCGTTCATTCAACTCTAGCTTAAAATCCTTCTGCTTAAAGTTCTTCCTGCATCTTCTACAGAAAGATAATTTGAGATGCAAAAATGTTGAAACCGAGACTGTCCAACTTTGAGAAGAACACGAGAAGGTAGGATTATCTCTGGACAAGGCCATCGTGCTGGGAAAGGCGGAAGGGAAAAGTCAGAAAAGAGGAAAGACCCCAATATGAGGTGGACGGACTCCCCTAAGGAAACCACAGGGTCTGGTCTGCGAAAGCTGAGCCGGGCCGTGGTGGACGGGACTTTCGGAGAGGGCTTCTTCATAGCGTCACCACGAATCGGAGGCAACTGGATGACACAGAACAAGGGGGGCGTAGCTATTGGGAACTTTTGGAGGGCTGGGTCTGTAAAGGGGAAGCGAGGCGGTCCGTTGCCTGCAGAAGCCTCCACCAGCCACCCCCTAGATGGAGGGAAAGGATGCTGCCTCCGGAGTAGCAGGGGGAGACCCAGGGCAGAATTTGGGGAGCAGCCAAGCCCGTCACCCTGAACTTCTCCTCTCTTGAAGAACAAGATCTGAGTCTCAAGGGGAGTGGGTGAAACCCCCCAGAAATCGGGAGGTCAAAAAGGAAGAAGCAAAATCCCCACGAAATGAAGAGCCATAAAATTCTGTGGTCTTTGGCACTGGTCATCTTTTGGCTGCACGAAGGTAAGGCTCTTTGCTTCACATCTTATTTTGCTGTGTTGCAAGAAAACGTCCGTTTACGTGTCGCCTAGGAAAAGCCCCTGCCCTCCTAAATACACGGTCAGTCTGTTTCTCTCTCTCTCTCGGCTTGTCCCCACATGTTACTTTCTGACGTGGCTTCTGGCACGGAAACTCTGAGTGAGGACCGGGGTCTTCAGAAGACAGAGTCGGCCCTTGTGGCAAGAGAGCCATTTTTGCTCTCCTCCTCCGGCTCCTCGTTGAGGCAGAAAGACGACACCGAGCCTTACGCCACGAGAACCGGAGTGGAGCAGCGCAGGGAGTGTTGAACTAGGGCTCTGCAGGCCTGGGTTCGAATCCTTGCTCAGCCGTGGAAGTTCACTGTGGGGCGGCGATGAGAAGCCACTCCTCGAACGATTCACGTCCCTCAAAAACCCTCTTAGCCCAGCTGAACTATTTCAAGAGGTCTGGGTTCAAGTTCTGTCCCAGACGTGATACTCGCCTAGGGAGTTCAGGCCGGTCCCTCTGAAAATGGGTTGGTTTGGCTTTTGCACTAGAACATAAAGAGGCAAAAATAGGCTTCGTTCCCAAGTCTGATTACTCGGGCATGCAGTTTTTAAGGCATTACGTCTCTGGAGGGAAAAAGTGCCATCACCTTTAATGGCAAGGCCAGCGTTGCATGTTACCTTAATCTAATTTGGACTGTGATGTGTCTGTCCATATATTATCTTGCCCAAACTGTTGAAGAGGCTTTACAGCTTCTCTCCACCCCCCAGAACAAACAGTAAAACCAGCTGCTCTTAAGAGATTAGGGCTACGCAAGCATTTGAAGCATCAAGACAGGAAGTGATAAAAGTTCTTGTCCCTCAAAGACCACAGACCACGTTGTGCAATTTTGAGATATCCCCAGCGTCTTTTTTTTTTTTTGCTCGTGAGACTTTTTGCGCCAGATAGGGGGGTCGGCAGGCTGGCCTCAGACAGAAAATTCTGAGAAAACTCCAAAGTTTGCATAGGATGGAGGCTGGCGTTGCCTCGCAAAAAGCTTTGTTTCCTTTCCTTTTTGCCGGACAAAGTAGGCCAAAATCTCCAAAAACCTTGACTATGTTTACAGATAGGGCGCAGTTAGTACAGTAAAAAATAACGATTCAATTCCTTTCTGGATTCCCTTTGGGGTATTGGTTTTTCATTGTGTTGTTCATCTCTTCTGGGCAGGCAGATGATCATGAGGGTTAAACATTCGTTGAGTAATTAATTCCTTCTAGAAGGGCTTTCTGGTGCCTGCAGGTCGGGGGGGGGGAGAGACTTTCTCTCTGGTTCCCTCTAGTGACCCACTTTGATAATGCACTTTGCAAATATTGTCAAAAAGAAGACAAGCGATCATTATTTGCTGCTTCGAAGCAGGCACATGGAAGGTCTTTGGAGAGAATCGCAAAACCCTTGCGAATCAGGAGGACGTCTGTCCATTGAGGGCAACTCTGGGGCATAAGAAACGAGCCTCTGATGACTCGACAGAGTGGAGTGTCACCCCCACCGATCCTTCCCGTGCCCCCTGGCCCTGGTAGTCTCGAAAAAGTTGACCAACGATGAAGGAGGAACCGATCAGAGCTGAGGAAAGAGGACGTTGGTGCGGTTGCAGGAAACCTTCCATGACAAAAGGGGAAATGGGAAGCGATGTGTCTGTAGGGGCTGACAGAGCAGATGGTGTCAGAAAAAAGAAGGACAGCTGAGCCATCAACCCCCCCCCCAAAAGCCAGAATCTCTCCCCCCCAAGACACTCAAATCAAGAAGGCATTGGGGGGGGAAATGCCCAGACGGAGGTCCCCAAGCCTACCCATTTGGGCACAGCGGCCAGAAGTGGCCCTTGTGGGGTTTATTTTTTTATTATTATTTAGTTCCTTTCTTTCTATTTTGTTTTTTTCTTCCAATTATGGAACAGGGCATACTTAAAAATCAAAAAGGAAATTAAGGCGTTGCCAGGAAAATAGAGTTAAGCCCAAAGAGCGTTTGTTAAAAGCTCTATGATTTTTTTTTAAAAAAAAGAAAGAGTTGAAACTAATGATCAGGCCTGTTTTTCAAAAAGAAATATTAAAAAAAGGTTCTGCATTCCCTTCTTTAAGAAATACAATCCTGCAAAGTTAAAAAGGGAACTTTAAAAGAAGGTTAGACGCCATAATCCCTCTGACTACCACTTCTCCCAAGGACGGCGTCATTGTCATATGCATTGTGCTTCCTCATTTTTGAGTTTTTCCCCCTTTTTATGGTGATCCTGTAATTGCACAATAACATCATGGATTCAGACAAAGAGAAAATGGGATTTTTTTCTGGGCATGTATGAAGTGAGTTGCTTCTACATCGGCCTGCTTTGTAACTACTCATTACACGACTTGCTACCCGGAAAGTAACAAGTTACAGGCATCCAGTTACTTCAAGCTGCACCGATGGGGGAGATTCTGCTCTCTGTGTCGGATGCCACAAGCAGATTCAGTTTTCGGTTGCATTTTGGGTAAAACCTGGGGAGGGATCCTGTCCAGAGAGCCCTCGGAGTCAATCAGAATATGAAGGAACTGCAGCGGCAGCGAAAGCCGTTTGCTCTCAAAACCTCATTGATACTGTAGCTCCATGAGGACTAGAAACGTGGGTCAAAGGGCAGCCGCAGGTGGTGAGGACGCCCAACTCTTTGGCCGGTGGTGATACAATATCTCATGCCATCCACAAGGGTGCCTCCAGCTTCTGCCACCGCCCTTACCCTTGCTCTCCTGTTGTACGCTGTGGCGAGGAGGGCCCTGATCCTCCCACGTGGTTTCGCCTTTTGAGAACCTGTCAGCTTTTGCTGTGTGCCGCTCTTACACAACCGGGGCAAGAGAGACGGCAAGCAGGACGTGGGACACCTCAGTGCAGGAAAGGAAATTGCGAATGTGTGCTTCTCCGCCTCAGCAAGCGAGCATTACAAATCTTTACTTATTTGCATACTTCTCTTGAAAAGTCTCATTATGCATTTCCACAGAATCGTAGTGTTCAGGAAATAGCTAAGCACCGCCGTCAAAAGACGGCCTATTTACTGATTAAAATGACTGCTGTGCCCCGCATTGTAATATTTGTTTATTTAAAACAGTGTTGCTCCACCTTTCTGCTAAAAAGGGACTCAAGATGGCTGATACCATAAAAAAAGACAATTATGTTGGCATTTGTATGTGAACAGACTGGGACATTCATGCAAGCCCCCAGATGCACATTCAACAGGTTTAAGAGATCATTAGAAAACACCCAATACTCTGTCTGACTGAACCCGACTTAAGTACCTGTCAGTCATTCCGATAACTGCCCAATAGAGTCTAGTTTTCAATATAACTACTTTCAAGGACACTGTAAGGGATGGTGTTTCTTATCCACCCACCCACCCACGCCAGCTGGCCCTCCATCGCTCAAGAAGCCATGCCAATTAATTTGCACCCAATGCAGGAACAGGGATGTGAAGAAACCGTTGCTGGTCAAGACAATGGGGAAATCTCTGATCCATGGGGGAAGGATGGATGCTTAGCTATGTGGGGTTTTTTTGTCTGTTTGTTTTGTTGATTATCTGTTAGATAGTTAATGTTTTTTCGTTTGTATGTTTAGATAGGAATAAAATGGTTTTTCAAAAAAGAAAACACAGAAACTGACAAAAAAGAAAGGTAGGAAGAACAGGTGCTGGTCTGAGGGGGGAAAGTGCTGGCATGATGGCCCTGATGAGAATGATTTGTATAAGCATTAGATCATTAGCATTTAGCTAATCCAGTGCTTAAATTCCTCACACGTTATGTTATTTCCCTCCTCTTCCCAAAGGCACAGCGTCCTCCGGAGCAGAAGATGCCACAGAGGTGAACGGAGCGCTGGGGGAATCGGTCACTTTCGAGCTGAAGACGTCTCCACCCTTTAAACTAATTTCCTGGCTTAAAAGTGAGGGAAGCAAAGACCCTTCCAATATTGCCCTTTTAAAGCCCGGAGAGCAATGTACACCCGACATATTGTTCCCTGGCTTTCAAGGGCGACTGAGTGCCCCCGAAGACTGCAGAAGTTTGCAAGTCAGAGATCTAAGAAGAGACGACTCCGGAAGGTACTTGGCTCAGATAAATCGAGGTGGTGCAAGCGAACCTTTGCGGGAAGCCTTTGACCTGCGGGTGTACAGTAAGTATTTCAACAGTCAAGCAAGGTGGGAATGGTGCCTTTCTCGGGGCAAAGAAAAGAACCGAAAGCAGACTTTCAGGGTCCTTCAGAACTCCTCGGCCGGCTGGATGTCCCAAAGCCTGGAGAAAAAGCAGAAAAAAGCTCAACCCCCACCCCAGCTGTGAACAGCCATGGGATTTGGAGTTCCTTAAACTCTGAAAGAGAGAGAGAGGGGCGGCCTTGGAGAGCCAGCCTGAAAGGTGTCAACAGTTGGGCCCTCCAAGGGACATGGAACGTATCCCACGGCTGGACCACTCAGCAGTTTAGGTCTCTGGCTGTGGAGTTGGAGGTTGAGAGTTCGAATCCCCCCTGGGCCAGGCTGGATCCGCTGGGTCCTTTCCAGCTCCGCCGTTCTAAGATGATGAGGATGATTCATAATACCTGGCTCGGGATGGATTCTGGAGTTCTCTGCTTCTCTCCCTTTGCCCCACCCAGCCTGATAAAGAGTTTGAATTTGAATGTTTTTGGTCACCCAATAAACATCTTACCTTTTCAAATGTTACTTATGGGCCAAACAGGGATATCCAGGGTGGGGTAGTGGAGAACGTGATGGCCTAGGACTCAAGAGGGCTGGGTTTGAATCCCCACTCAGCCATGGAAACTCAGTAGGGAAATGGAACTGGTAAAACCACTCCTTAAACATTTCAAGCCCAAGTTTTGTTTCGGGAAACAGATGACCGCTTTTCAGGAGATTCAAACTGGACACAATACAGCCTCCTGTGCCATACAGAGTCCCATCCTGCACTCCCTTTTTTTCCCCAAACGATGATTCCAAGGAGAAACTCAAAAATTCCCGGCCATTTAAGTTACGCCACTCCTGTTCCACTGGTATAACCGAGCAAGAAGATTTTGGCCAATTGGTTTATTAATAATACTTGGCTCTCTTTAACAAACCAAACAAAGAACAGGGGGAAAAAGAAAGGGATCCCCATATTCCCCTGTTTCCCTTCTGGCTGCTTTTAAGTCCCTGGAGCTGAGACCACTCTGCTTTTAATTTAGTCCCATGTTTCTGTGGTCGTCTGTTCTAATAATTAGTGCTTTTCACATTCATTATATCTTTCCCCCTTTCTGTGCAGAGCGTCTGTCGGAGGCCGACCTGACCGTCCGGTGTCACAAAACAGGGAATGGAACCAGGCAGCTGAACTGCTCGGCGGGGCCCTGGGAGGATGATGTGGTGTTTGGCTGGGAGGATGAGAGCAAGGCTGAGCCTTGGGGACAGTCTGCTACCAGGATCCTCAGAGTCAATGACGAGGATGATCTGAACGCCACCTGCAGAGCCAGGAACCCCATCGGCGAGGCATCCAGGACGGTCTCTGTGCAGGAAATCTGTGCTGGTAAGTTTTTGCGTTGTTGTTTTTTCCAAAGAAAATCATACTTCGTTATTAGTAGGAGGGATTCCTTGCTGTTTTTTCAGGATAAAAATGTCACACCAAGGAAGGTTTTCCCTGCTGCAGTTTACTTATAGGTAGCTGGAAAGCTAATAGAAATTATGCAAACTTAACAGTTCAAAAGCCGGGATCCTGTTAGTGACACCACATCACGTTCAGCCCTGAATTTTCCTTTAAATCAAGATGTTTTTGTGGGTGTTCCCTCTTGCAAAGGAACTGGGTGAATCAGGGTGTGTGACTTGAAATCCCTATTCTGACTGCCTGACTTGTGGGCATTCACTGCTGAGCGTTAAGCCACCAGCGTCAAGTTGGCGAAATTCTGCAATAGGATTTGGGCTGCCAAGTGGCATAAATGGCGGAGATGAAGCACGACAGCCCGTCATGACTGATAACAGCACATAACGTGTCTTTGGGTCTAGGGGAGGACAAAGAGGC